TGTTGTTGCAGTTGTGGTTGTGGCAGTTGTGGTTGTTGAAGCTGCCTCTGCTGCTGTTTTTGTTGATCATCAAAGGTGTTATCCGACTCGTCCATAATGACAATCTGATGAGATAATGTTCACGCGTTTGTCTGCCGGAACGGAGGCGATGATGATGATGATGGTGGTGATGATGATGATGATGATGAAGAGGAAGATGATGAAGAGGAAGAAGATGATGATGATGGTAATGATGGTGATGATGATGATGATGATGGTGGTGATGATGATGATGATGGCAATGATGGTGATGATGATGAGGATTAAAACTTACATATTATTATTATTATTATTATTTATTATCTAATTTTCTCAATTCCATACAATATAAAATAGACAAGTATTCTAATAACCTCCATAACAATTCACTCGACAGTGTAAAACATTTAAAAACACGTTCGAAATTTTTTCGATATTTTACAATAGTCTTATTAACTCTGCGATATCCCCATCATACGCTGTTTATCGTGATAGAAATTTGACCGAATGAATCAATGTAAAACTAATCTGTTCAGTTCTCGTTGTACTCATTTCGTGTTTCTATCACTGAATGACGAGCTACGTAGAATACGCTTTTATAATTTTTTTTTTTTACCTAAACCATTTTCTGATTATCGTCGGTTATTTTATTCAAACTTTATTTCATTTCATCTATCTTAATGTGGGGGAAATAAAAGATGTTAACATTGTTTGAAAAACAAACTACAGAAACTGGGATATGTGCAATATCGCCGGTGAAATGGAAGGGGAAAATCGATAGGATGAATGAATGAATGAATGAATGAACGAATGAATGAATGAATGAATGAATGAACGAATGAATGAATGAATGAAGGGAAGAATGAATGAACGAATGAATAGAAGAATAGAGCAAATGAAAGCCACCAAATAAATAAACAAAGAATAATTTGAATAAACAAAAATGAACGACTGAATGAACCAATCAATAAAAGATGAATGAACGAACGAATGAACGAACGAAAGAATGAATGAACAAACGAATGAATGAACGAATGAACGAACAAATGAACGGACGAATGAACAAATAAAGAAAAAAAGTGTAAATAATAGGCTATCAAT